ACTTTACAGTGCTTTTTCAAATTCTCAGGTTTGATCAACTAAATGGCAGTTGGCAAGAGAAGTAAAATAAATAAAGTTAATATCTGTCTATCTATTTTGTTCTTGTTAATTTGTCATGTTACTTTGTATGTAATATTTTTGATAAAAGAAATGAAGACAACATGTAGTACTCAATACTCATCTTCCTTTATTGAATCATTAATTTTTAGCAAAAATACTAAATTAGACATTCTGATTTTTTACTGTACAAAAGATTTATAAGGTTTACTAAAAGCTTACCAAGTTTCGTAAAGATACATAAGTCGTATCATATCGGATAGTTTATTGATACAATCATATCACGGCTTGATGATAGGATACTCGTATTGTATTTCTCTTTCACCACACCTTTACCAAATACGTTTAGTAAAAGTACGCTATAAAAAATAGTTCATCAGTAGTGAACGTAACATGAAATCATGGGGTGTTTTCCAGTTTACCCACTGATATAGTAGTCTCAACTCAGTATCAGGAGTAAGTCAATACACTGCTACTTAATGAATTTTAAATGACTGGGTATCAGTTCATCAAAAAAATAACATATCTTTAAAAAGAGTAATTAAAGAGCAACTTGTCTGTATAGTCAATATGTAAGATATAACGGTTAATGTTATAAGAGCCCAACTTTTTTCTCAAGAATGTTTGTTTCTTTAACAATTATTTTTAAACATGTGCTATTTTCCTTTGTGTTCAATGTTCATCTTCACCTTAAAATTCTTGAAAAATAAAGTAATATGCGATGTAAATTCAGAAAATTCGGTATTTTGGCTATAATGCTTTTTCAAGTTAGCACTTTAAAGAATGTAGAGAGAATGACTTGTGTATGTATGTGTTACATTCTTACAGAATACATTCTTTGCTCTAAGTCAAACTTTGCAAACCATTGTAATTTGAACTACTATCATTAAAATGCTACGTAGTTAATTTTATTGCTAGTAATATAAATTTTTCTTCCTGTGATTTTCAGCAAGAGCAAATGGAGTATTCAAACCTTTAAAGATAATATGATTTACGGGTTCCTTTCTTTATTCTTTGCCAGTGAGGTAATTTGAACATTTAGCCAGCACCATATTTAATTCCATATAATATTCTTATATCCTTTCATATACAAAGTAGTTAACTTAAAACCTTATTTACTGGAGTAAATGGACACACGATATCTCTAATGTTACTGTTATTTATGTAAATTGTAAACAGTTATTGTTACAACATTTTAATCATGCTGTCTCTGAGAGTGTCAGGTATGATTTTATGACATAGGCTGGTAATGGAAGAGGAGTACGTTCGATTATACCACACCGTAGAGAACTCTCGTATTTACCATGAGGAAGAACCTCAGTACATAGATATTGGGGGAGAAAGAGCTCCTGCAGTGGAATTCCTTCTGCACAGTTACCCAGAATACGTTACTATTGATCACTTGCCTCTACCAACCTTGGAAGAAAAGGTAATTATTGATGTTGCATTCACGGATGTATTAAAGTAAGACTAAACTGATTTGTTATCACCAGGTGGAGTGAGAATTTTCTCTAGTTTTGTAGATTTACACTCTTTTTTTTTTATTTTGTGTAATGTTATTTTATAACACTAAATCACAGTTAGGACATTTTCTTCCCAAAAGGCTTAGATGGAATATTTTTTTACCAGATTTTGGTTCTATTGCTGGAATTTTCAACTGTTGCAATGCTACAAGTAATAGTGTATCATTACAGCTTTAAACAAGTGTGACACTTGTTTCTAATTTTTATTTCTTAAAGTTACCCTATCAAATAGTAACAATCATGAAAGAAATGAACAGAGATGTTGAAAATAGGTTCACTGAGATTTAGATAGACAAAAGTTATTGTTTTCATAAAAAATAGAATAAAACTTTCTAACTTTGTTTTCTTTTTGGTTCCTTTTATTACCCCGAAAAGAGACCAAAGGCAGCCTGAAGGGGTCACCTGTTTTAACCACTTGCACCACTATACAGTAGTGTGTTGTCTGTCAGTCAGTCAGTGTTTTTTTACCCCATGGCCCAAGAAACATGGTGGGGGAACTGATGTATACCTTCACATACCAAGTACATAAAGTACGGAAGTAGCAGATGACTATATATTTTTGGGAACATTATCCTTAAGCCAAAATAAATTTCTTAGTTCGAGTTAAGCTGTTCTTGGGAAGTGGGTAAATTCATCTTGCTAGAAAACTTGTTAACATATTGTGACTATTGTTCAGCCAATTGGTTCTGAACAGGATTCTTGGCAACATCAGATTCTTAAAATATTAGGAATGGTCACAGACGTTTTTACAGACGTTAATATCAGAGAAGACAGTATTAAATTAACTGAACTTTGAGAATGTCTGGCTAATGTCTGGGCATCTGCAAAACTACTCCCACAGTTTAAGTCTGATTTGGATGAAACTTCGCATGATTTTACACCATCATAAGGGGAAGTTTTTAACAAAGTTTCATTACAAATGGGTCTCTTAATAAAAAAAAAAATTATTTAGTGCATGTGACCATTTGTTTTTAAGAAATAAGTCAATAAAAGATTTATATTGCACCAAAATGAAAATTGTTATAAAATAGACCCTTGCTAAAACTACAAAAATAAAAGGACCTTATTTTATAAATTTTTTTTCCTAAATCTTTTCCTTAATGGAGAACTGGTACTTCTTTACTTATTAATAATGTACATTAATTTTGGACATATATTATTATCAATGGAATTAATGTTTTTTAATATAATATCTAAAATTGTGGTAAAGCAAGTTTAATGCAGAATTTAGAAGTGAGTCTTCCTAGTGGAACATTATTGTGATATATTTCAGAAGAAACATGATTTTTTCGGCTGGAGAATCTAAGCGTACGCCATGAATTCAATTGTTCTGTGACCGAGGGAATCGCAAGTCCTTTGTATGGAGTTCGTTGCATACAAACTTGCAGGAATTTTGTAGTAATTTGATCTTCATAAGTTACACCAGTATATTTATTACTTCAGTACGAGTATAAAGTGATCAAGAACATCAAAAATCATGATGCTAAAAATAGTAAAACAGAAACGTGACTTATCACGGAGAAAGTCTGAAACTTTGAGAAAGAAAATAAAATGTCAGGATGCAGGTTACAGAAAGAGATAGACTTGAGCACCAAGTTATGTTCCAAGATCCAGTGAGAAGAAACCAGGAATAAATCCTAAATACAGAAACACATTAAAGTGCTTGCCAAGATGCAGTTAGAAGTCAGGAGCAGTTTTGTAACAGAGAAGCACACCATTCAGCTCACCAAGATCCTGACTGAACAGACACCCTTAGGGCGTCATTCCTGCTGGTTTATCATAAGTTTCATTAAATTATTTTTTGAATGCTATAATGTACAAAACACAAAATGAATTCCAGAAAAGTTCAGTTAATGAAGTAGTTTTGATTCATGTCCGACTGTAAACTTTATATTTGGAAATTTAAATGCAGAAAAAAATTGTTTTCTTTTTTTGACTGAAAAAGAGGTAAAAGTGTTATCAATTTAGGATCTGAAATAAGTTTCTTTAAAAGTGACAGAACATTTTTCCAACCCTTGTTTTTATAACAGAAACATCTCAACCATAATAGGCATTAATTTTTGACTCCATACTTACTCCTTAGTATAAATAAAGCCATTAAACACAGAATATGATTCTTAATCACAAAAGGTATAAGTTTAGAAGATAAAGTATATTTTGATAAACCATAGACTACGTACTTAATCAGTGTCATAAACCAATATAATTAAACAGATGAAACTTTGAATATAATGGGTACTCGTATTAGCACTAGCTTTTTTTACATAATGAACAATATAAAGGTCATGTTGAACTTAGTAAAAACACAATTTTTGTTACTCCAAAATCAGATAAAAAGACTAAAAAATGTTATTTTAAATAAAAGTGATTGCATCAGTAAAATTAACCTTTGATAAAAATGTAAAATTGTCAGATTATATGAAAATCCGGTACTTTATAAGAAATATAAAATATCAGAAAATGATTATAAAGAAATTAATTAAGTTGGCTTCCAAGCCAATAAGCTTTCTTTATATATATATATATATTATATATTTCTTTTCCAATATTACTGGTGTCTACGTAGCATTTCCTTATTTAGCCTGGTCGTCAATGGTTTTTACTTCATCATATGATTATTTTTACCACATTAAATGAAAACTCATGTAGTGGAAGAATTAAATAATCTTGTAATTTGTTTATATTCCTATGAAACTGAATAACCATCTGTAGGAAATTTTTTTTGTACTAAGTAATTTGCCATCAGAACTGAATATGGAAATGTATGGTTTGAATGTTGAGGACTCATCTTTAAATGTTTATATTTCAGATGGATCTTGCCTCTCTTTTATACGACAAAGGACTTATTGTCACGCGGGAACCTCTGCCTGAAAACGACTGATTCTACTGTTTTGTAGAAGAATTTGATGAATTATTGGTCCGAAGTAATTGATCATGTGACTAATTTCAAGAAGTGATTAAAATTGTAAATTCTCTTAGTTTTTATTTCAGTCTGATTTTTTTTGTTTCTTTTATTCCAAAATTTGTTTAGTAACTTGTAACTTAACCTGGATAATCCAGTTGTTATATTCCAATATTTTTCTATTATGTTATTAACACATGAATGCATTGTACCTTAAAACTTGTCAGACCAGAAATGCTAGGTGTTGCTATGAATTATTGTTGAATTTTGCTGGAAAAGAAAAACAGAGGAGAAACTTTCACCATGTTTGAAAATTCCGTTTTCACAACAGGTTAAATGGAGCGTGTAATGACCTTAGATAAACGTTTACATTGTACACACATTTGGCAATAGAACTTAGAGAAGTGAAAGGCAGAAATCAATCAACAAGATATATTGAAATGTTAATATAGCTGAGGAAATTTTCAGTGAAAATATACACATTCAGAAGAAAAGTCTCCAAAACCGTGTCTACAGTTCTGATTGAAAGATAAGAATCGGCTACAAGACTAATTGTTTTATTGATGAAGTAAAACATTAATGAAACAGTCTTTGAGTTGCTAAGTATAACCTCTGGATTTACATGCAACCAATGTTAACTTGTTTGACAAATGTTGGCACAATAATGTTTATCAACAAGGTGTATTTTTGTCTTTGTCAACAACGACGATGGGTGCACAACAATTTTCCACGTTATCTTTTTGACAAAAACTACCAAGTAGTATGCATTGTACAAGAAATAGAGGTATCTCAAACAGTCTTATCATATATTATAAAGGGGTTTACAAATAATATATGTTGGTTTTGCAGTCAGAAATAAATGAAAAAATTTAAACATCAGAGCTTTCAGAACACACAACTCGACAGATATTCCACAAATTCACCCGTACTAAAATAACAGTCCGTATATACGTTACCTGTGACTGTGCACACCTGTAAATGGGAGAAGCAAAAGCATCTGGAATTAAACCTTGAAGTTGTGGAACAATATTGGAAGCTATGGAAACCAAAAATGCACTATGGAGTATACGAAACCTAACACATGAACAATTGTACGTTCAAGGAGTTGTCAACAGCACTTGCTGTAAGCAAATATGTTGAATTTATCATTGAACGCATACAAATATAATTCACAAAACACGTCTAGAAATCTGATCATCTCTACGTAACCACTAATACTAGAATATTAAACAGGAAGACTGAAAGTAACGTATGATTTTTAAAAATGTGATAAAGGAACATGACATTTAACTCGTTATCAGAAACCCGAGAACACTTTCTGATATCAAGTTTAAGTATGTCTCACGATACCTTAGTACAATATACTAAATATCGTAACATCATTTGTGATGTCAGGTGATATTTGTCAAGGAAACCTTGTCAGAATGATAAACCCACTGAATGTTGCTACAAATACAAGACTATGTACGGATAGACAGCTATCATCATACACAGAGAGGAACAAATACTGACATACGACATACAGAAACATGGGTCTCCAGAAGGCCATTATTTTATGTAAGTTTCTTTGGGGATCCCGTGGAACAGTATAACACTATTACACATATATTATAGCATATATGGACTGAAAGATGACAGAATTCTTTACTATAAACTAAGTTACTCACTAAATGATTTAGGAGTTCACTAAACCTTTTGACCATTTTTGGCAACTTGACTAAGGCTAAAACTAGATTCAGATCCTATGGATATTTATCAACAATAATAAGACTATGACTGAAACAGAAAGGTGACTAAATTAACACTGTTTGCAACTCTGATGAAACAAATTAAGAAATATTTAAACGTAATACTTTTTAAAACCAAAAAGTACTGATATGAAGTATATACGTAAATCAGGATTTTAATGTGATTAACTAACTTTTTGATCCTAAATGTTTTTTATTATCTTAAATAAATAGGGAACAGTTGTAAAGTACAGTCACATTTTCTCAAAGAAAAAATAGTAAATCTGAAAATAAGTTTGTTTTTACGTTGATTTATAGTGTATATTAAGAAACTCCATTAGATTATTAATTGACTGACTAGCCACTTGTAGTTGTTTTTTATTTCAGGGGCTTGTAAAATACTAGACAGGCCCTAATGAAAATGTGTGTCACAATTTATGTTAGTCTTAACTCTGGGTAGCAAACGAAATTAGCCAGTTGCTTCTCCCAGTGAGAAAGGCTTATAGATATACATATTGTTAATAAAAAAAAATTCTTATATATATGTGTAAGAAGTTACTAAATTTCTGTAAAATTAATATTTTAATTTTCAGTGATCCCACTTTTCTTTTGTGTATCTTTTAAAGTTTTTAACTTTGTTAACAGAATTAATCAATTGCTAATAGGTTAATAGCAGATCTAAAAGTAAAATGCTAGTTCAGTGACACTTGTTGTTTAAGAACAAGTTTTATATTGTTGCCCCTGTAAACTGGTTTGACCTGTACAGTTAAGATAGTTTTTGCCCCTGTCAGTTGATGTGCCCCTATACATTTAAGATACTTTTTGCCCCTGTCAGCTGATGTTCCCTATACAGTTAGGACAGTTGTTGCCCCTGTTAGCTGATGTACCCTATATGGTTAAGATAGTTGATGCTCCTGTCAGCTGATGTTCCCCACACAGTTAGGACAGTTGTTGCCCCCTGTAAGCTGATGTGTTCTATACAGTTAAGATAGTTCTTGCCCCTGTAACCTGATTTGCCTTATACATTTAAGATAGTTGTTGTCCCTGTAAGCAAGTGTGACCTGTACAGTTAAGAACATTTTTGCCCCTGTTAGCTGATGTGCCCTGTACAATATTTTGTGTTCCTGTAAGTGCTCCCTTTCTTTAAAATAGAGCAGACATCAAGTTATCTGGGATAAGCATACACCACCTAAGTCCCACGTATTGTACATATATATAACTGTTTCTACAGGCCTTGATTTCAGCGGTTTATACTGACCATGGATGAAAACTAATTGGTTTAAATTAAGGTAACTATGCTAATGTAACAAGCTACATCGGAACTGAAGAGGTGGACTTATTGTGTAGTGAACCCCAAACACGATAGTTAAGCCTGTGTAATGAGAAACATAACTGTCTTCAGATAGGTTTTTGTTCCTATCCTTACTACCTAGACGTAAAATGAACTTCAAGATCACCACTGCCACTGACGAAAATATTCTATTAGGATAAACTAAACAAATAACTTCATTTTAATTTCTTCCAAGACGAAAGAAGTTTTAAAATGTTTATAGTCTAAAATTGAACAGTTACCCTACAAGAAGCCTCCCACATCTATTGTCCTTCACTTGAAAGCACTGAAACGTTTACTCCGAGTCTGATCTGACTGAGCAGAAGACTTTTCTGCACCTCTAGATTAGGACTGTTATAAGCTATAGATTACTTATGTAACGTGTGAAATAAATGTCCCTGATTGGGTCAGAATAGAAGTTTTCAAATCTAGAGAGATAAAGTAAAGAAAGAAAAAATCCAAAAATGTGTTTCAGGCATGGGGAAGAGGAGTGAGGAAACTCGGAACAATTTTGACCATTGTAGGCATCCCAAACCAAAGTGTACTTCAAGAGTTTGAACTCTAATAAAGAGACTTCTTTATTAACCAAATGTACAAGTGATTTTTATTTGAGTCTAGCCTTTCTTTTTAATTTGATTCACAGTTTTCAGAGGCAGTTTTTACTTTTCTGCCTTATCCGTATTAGCCCCTAATTTCTCCTTCAGTCTCTTACGAGTCAAAGCAAGCCTTGTGTTGAAGACGGGGTTCACTGTATAACGCAGAGTATCCTTCCGACCAAAGAGTTCATCAGCACTTTATCTTTAGCTCTTAAGTGTGTATTTCACGGTTTGAATTGTTCAGTAAGTTTAAAAATTCATGTGGGTGATGTAGGTTCAATGATGTTTCTCAGTGTATTGAGCTGAGCAAAGCTCTAGCTGTTTTACATATTGAAAGGTACTTATTAAGTTGTTTTACAGACTGTTTGGTACTTACTAATTTGTTTTACAGATGGATGGGTACTTAATATGTTTCAATGACATGACCTCGGACCCCCAGTTTCCATCTTTACAGGATTATCATGTGCAATCAATAGATAGTTTGCCTCTTCAAATTATTCACTTTGGTACATAATAACCATCTAATAAATGCCATGTTATCAAGCATAGTTATCAGGCATGTGTCTTCCAGGAATTTCCTCAAATTTTATATCTGTATATTATTGGGCAGATCTGTATGCGACAGTTTTAACCACAGTTAAATGTGACGCAGAGACGATCTGATGAATTAAATATATTGAGACACGAGTCACTTATCAATGTCGAGAAGGTGGGTTGTCTTTGTCTCTTAATCTTTCCTTCAATCCAATTTTGATCCCACGCTCCACATTATGCGAGTCGTAAATGTCGACAGTAAGCTCTACTATGAAATGCTCCTAAAAAAAAGAAGATTAGAGACAAAGACTCAATATGAACTTTTATCATGCCCAGTGATTCAGAGTCCTAAATTACAATGCGGTCAGCTTTGGGGAAGAGATAACTAGTTAAGACGCGGTACTTTTTACGGTTAGTGGCTTTTCACCTACTACAAGACATCGCACTTTGCTTGCCTTGACTGGGGTATCACTTATTACAGGTCTCTTTTCTGGATGGTCCTGGTTCCCTAAGGTGATACACATTTTTTTGTTTTCCAGTGCCATTAAGTACAAGGGATATCTTCCTCTCGGGAATTCTGAATCCCTGAACTGAACATATCTTTATGATCTGAGGGTATGAATATTTTGGTCGGAAAGGACTGTCACATACCTTTCCGAAAAGCAATCAATTTTCGGTGGGATCACACTACTTACCAAACAACAAGCAATGTTAAACTGTACTTCTGATACGTTCAGTTTCATTGCAACCTTATATCTCCTGTAGCTGTCCCGTGACTTGCAGATTTTTCATACTCAAAATCTGCATACTATAGTCAGGACTACGTAATTAAAAGAAACGTTCAATTTGATTGGAGACTAAACCTTTAATTCCATAAGAAAAACTACCATGTTCTG